TGCAGCTGTTGGCATGGAAGCTGGAGGCGAGAACGCTGCGATGTGCCCTCACTGTCATGCAAGACCTCGACCATGCCGTGGGGTCCGCCGGGAGAAAGCACAGCGCTGTCTAGAAACTTCCGAACCTCGCAGGGAGACCTTCTGCATTAGTGCTGAGCAAATCCACCCTTTGAGCCTGACTTTGGCTCGAACCTGTGAACTCTGACACGACACGCACCACAGTCCAATCAAGTGTCGCAGGTTCCGCCCAGGCTTCTCTGCCAGTTTGCAGGTGCAGTCGAACATGTCCAGGGGCCACCGTCCATCCGTTGCCCTTGGAACCAAAGGTGTGGGGATGCAGGCAGGGCAAAAGCATGCCTCTCTGCTCCCCAAGGCAGAACTTCTGATATCCGTGCACACAGACCGCCTGGACCTGCTGCCAGGACACAGGTGGAGTGGGTGTGGAGAAGGTGCTAAGATTCTGAATTTCTAGAAGGTTCCAGGATAGAGATGATGCTGCTGGCCAAGTCGGAGCAGTGAGGTCTTGGTGGAAGCAGGGCTCGCACCATCACTGCCAACTCATGCAGCAGTTGAAAGGAGAACAGAATGAGACAGGTGCGTTGCAGCGATGTGATACATGCGCGGCTGGGCGGAGGTAGCAGGCTGCACAGAGAACGAGGGCGGCGCCCCCTGTGCCAAGCGCCTGTCTAGGCTGGTGTCCCTTCCGTTCCCTGCTGTGTCCTCTACCAAACCAAACAGGCAGGGGGAGAGGCAGCAGGGTCGGATTTGACACCGTGTGTCCTTCCTTCTGCTTTTCCAAGACACACCCTGGAACGTGAAGAAAGCAGGGACAGGTGCAGGTTCATGTGCAGTAGTTTAACAGAGCTGGTGAACCCTGCATCCCTGCAGAGCCGGAGACCATGAGGTCGGAAGCCAGGACTCAGCCCAAGCCCGTCCCCTGGGATGTTGTCTTCTCACTGTCTCTGTTACAAGGCTTTTAAAAAGCTAGTTCACCATTTCTTGTCACGTTGATGAGATCTTCAATATATTTTTCAGCTCAAAATTAGAGAGTAAGGGGAGGCTGGAATAGGTCAGCCTCTTTGTTCGTCTGGGGCTCCTGCCACCCAGCCTCTCTCTGTGTGTGGTATAGAGCAGAACTCTCCGGCAAGCCCCAAGTGCCATGGAAAGCTCTGCTGCTCTGTTTCCTGGTGCTGGAGCCGGCGGTCTTTCACTGTGGCACCCTCTGGGTGGGGTCCCACGTGGGAGGGCTGCTGCCTGGGGTTGTGTCCTGCCCAAGCTGTAAGAGTCAGGAGTGGCCATCTTTCTGTGGGTAACAGCAACAGCACGAGGACACAGGCGTACGTGCCAACAGGAATGAAACGCTCCAGAAAGGGACAGGCGTGTCTCAAAGTATTTCTACCCATCATTTGCGAAATGCACAGAAACGACGCGATATGCTCACTGCACGTTAGGGCGTCTTACTGCTAAGGAGCAGTTGTTGTTTTCATTGTCGCCTGGCCTGTGCCTCCTCCTGACCTTGAAGAGCTAGTCAAGGTCACAGCAGGCAGGCCAGGTGCCTGTCCTTGCTGTCAGCCCTGCTTGCAGCCACTGCCCTCCTGCTCCTCTCTCCATTCGTAGCTCATTCTGCACCCTCCCTCCGGCCCCACCCTGCTTCTGCCAACATCAGCTTCTGACAGGGGGCTGGCTATCTGGGAACTTCTCTCCTCCATTTCTTCACTGAGGCTCCCCTGGCACCTCCCACAGAGTCCTGTCCCCCACCAGGCACTGACGTACCCGCTGCGCGCGCTGCTGTGTTCTGACACCTTGCTGGATCGCTGCAATTCTCTGAGCAGCCAATTCTCCAAATGATCTAGTTTCCAAGCGCTTTTCCAGACGCGGTTTGCAAAGTTATTAGTGATTCATGCCTCAGCACAGACATCAGGCACCCAGTACGTTCAGGTGTCCCAGAGGTCGGCAGGGTCAAGAGTGCCTTAGATATGTCACGGTGGGTTTGTACCTCTAGGTTGAGTGAACTTCTCCAGTTGGACGACTTGTCCTTGCCTTGCAATTAGCCTTAATTGTCTTCATCCAGGGCCAGACGTTGCTTTATGCAGAAGAGAAGAGAAAGAATGAACAGAAATCCTCTTGCAAAGTCACCACCTGGCAATTTCGCATGGTCAGGAATTGCAGTAGAATGAACTCTGCTGGATGCTGGCATTGACCACGGCCTGGGGCCCCGTGGGTTCTAGTGTGGGTTATGCTGTTGGTGGATGAGTCATCGCTTCTCTGGAACTTGGGTTTCTGCTCTGCAAGTGGAGACAGTTACCAACACCTGCTTCTGTTTCCACGGGTGTCCCAGCAGGGAGACATCCTCCCTAAGGGGGTCCCTTCTCAGAGATACAGCCCTCTGCGGTCTCAGGGACAGGAAATCTTGTCTGCCCTCAGGCCAAAGGAGCTGACAGAGGAGCTGTTAACACCAAGCAGGCTTGGTGCAGTGGCCTAGCGACTAAAGTCCTAGTCTTGAATACACCGGGATCCCATATGGGTGCTGATTCTAATCCCAGCTGCCCTGCTTCCCACCCAGCTCCCTGCTTGTGGCTTGGGAAGACAGTCGAGGACAGCTCAAAACCTTGGGACCCTGCACCCGCATGAGAGACCCGGAAGAAGCTCCTGGCTCCTGGCTTCGGTTCAGCTTCGGCCATTGTGGCCACTTGGGGAGTGTATCGTCAGATAGAAGATCTTCCTGTCTGTCTCTCCTCTGTGTGTATCTGACTTTCCAGTAAAAATAAATAAATCTTAAAAACAACAACCAAAGCCAAACACCAAGTGAGCTGGGACTGGGGGGGTGACAACTGCTTCTACACGATGGCCTCTTAGAGGCAGAGCCTGGGAGAGCAGGGCTGCGCCCCAGTGGTCCACGAGGAGAACCTCCCTCCAGCTCCATGCTCGGGGAGGGATCCGAAGCCTGGTGGCCGGAGTGCTTAGCCCTGTGGCACTGTGAACTCCTAGTAATGATGCTGTGGAAGTGCCCTGTGGGTTCCATGCGTGTTCCCTCAGCCTGGTGGAATCCGCAGTGAGGGCAGCTTATGCCCTGTAGTGGCATGCTTCGTACTCCCCCTGCCTAGCTGGCTCTTGGAGCCCCCGGAGGGAAGCGAGACCCTTCCCTGCTAGAACCCAGGGAAGCTCTGGTTACAGATTTGAGAGCCACCATCTGCTGGCTTATTCCTCAAATGACTGCAACAGCTGGGGCTGGGCCAAGGTGAAGCCAGGAGCCAGGAGCCTCCACCACGTGGGTGCAGGGGTCCGAGCTCTGCAACCGTCCTCTGCTGCTTTCCCGGTCACATTAGCAAAGAGCTGGATCCAGTGGTTAACTAGCGGCTGATACAGGATGCTGGCGTGGCAGGCAGCGGCTGAACCTCTGCGCCACACGTGATGGTTGACATCACAGTAACAAAAGCACGCTGCCCCTCTGGCGTCAGCCTCTGCCTGGATCAGAGAAGGTCCTTGTCACTGCCGTGGCGACTCCAGCTCGGGTAAGGAGCGACTCAGAGGCCCCGAAAACCGACCCCTGATCCCTCCATCCTGGACTCAGCACCACCTTGAATATATGCTTACCATAATCCCCTAGTCGTGGCCCCTTTGAGGCCCACTTGCCTAAAAAGCTTAGTGCCCCACCAATCCCGAGGCATCTGTCCCTGGTGTCACCTGCAAGGGCATCTCCCCACACCCACCTCGAGGAGGTAAAGGCTCCTTTTCCCTTCGCACATGCTCGCTCCCTCTCTTTCCTCTCACTCCTTTCAGCTCTTTCTGCTCTTCTCTGTCTCTGCTCCCACTTTCTCCCTGTCCCACAGCTATGCCCCTTGTGGAAATGAAAACACCTCGTGTGGCTCACTTACTGTGCCTGGCAACTTGGGTTTGTGGCAAAAAGAAAAAAAAGCTGACGGCTAGAACCTCCAGGAAGCTGCACGGGAGAAAGAGGGTTGAGGACACACTTTGTTAGCAAAAGAGTCAGATAGACCCTGTAGATATTTGCTTTAACTTGTATACAGAAGAACCAGGAGCATTGGTGGAACAGTGCACTTACAAGGAGAGAGGGAAGCAGCGGGAGCATCCCTGGGCGGGAGTGAGTGAGGTGGTCCCAGGGTGTGTGGGCACTGGGCGGAAGTGAGATGGTCCCAGGGTGTGTGGGCACCTGGCAGAGGCCGGGTCCCAGGACAGCCGTTGGAGTGAGGTGGTCCCAGGGTGTGTGGGCACCAGGCAGAGGCCGGGTCGCAGGACAGCCGTTGGAGTGAGGTGATCCCAGGGTATGTGGGCACCGGGCAGAGAGGCCGGGTCCCAGGACAGCCGTTGGAGCGAGGTGGCCCCAGGGTGTGTGGGCACCAGGCAGAGGCCGGGTCGCAGGACAGGCTCTGGGGTCTTGAGAAGGCCGCATGGAGAGGCCGGAGCTCTGGAGCGGCTGACTCACACCGTGCTTTGACTCAATCCACTGGCCACATGATCCCTGTTACCTTATCCGTTCACCTTACAGGTTGTCATGGAGAACCAGGAAGGGAAACACATGGGGAAGTGCTCAAACCACCTGCGTGTAGTTGTGATTCCTTCATGCCCCTTCCTTCGCCACTGTGCAGTCATGGGCAGTTGGAAGCACCTGTGAGTCCCACCGTGGGGAACAGAAGCGGCTCTCTGAGAAGGTGGGGCAGAGACAGTGCTCATGGACACATAGGTGCTACTGACAAGATCAAGGTCACCCCCAGGGATGCAATTTACGTCTCAGACAACAAAGAGATTGGGTCAGACAGTTACCATGGGAACGTCAACTCCAGGAGGGTACAAAAGGCTTGCCATTTTACCCCCACATTATCCTATCCTCACCTGTCTGGTCTGATCCTGAGGCTGTCCCCACCAGGACTGAGGGCCCTGGGGCCATGCCTGGAATCAGTGGCAGGGTACCGGGAGGGCTTAGAAGAGAGGCCTTGCCCATTGTGACACGTGTTTCCATTCCGTGGGCTTCCCCACCTGCCGGAGGCTGAGAAGTGAGGATCAGGAACCAGGAAGACTAGCGGCTGCCCAGAGAAGCTTCTGGAGTCTCAGAGGGGAGAGGGAGCCCGTACCAGCCCCTTCACTTCCTGGGGACGATGGCCAAAGGCAGACGCTTCAACCCACCCCTAGACAAGGACGGAAGATGGGTGAGGAAGACGGTGCTCTCTGGTTCCTTTCTCTGCCGTTTGAGTGTGCTTGGGGACATGGCAGTGAGTTCGGGTGCTGCTTCTGCAGTGTGATCTTGAACCAGCCACTTCATTGCACCTTGTCTGCCAAGGGGGTCTATCAGCTCCCGGGAAGGGGGTGGGGAGGCACATGTGGAACATGGATGCAGTTCCGGAGCCTGTGGATGCCTGCTGGGCGACGTTGTTGCCCACCCTCCTTTGGGTCTTGATTCTCTCCTAACACCTGTGTTCCTGGACTGCTGTGGGCATGACTACCGCCTGTGTGGGGATAGCAGGTTGGTGTGGGCCGGGCTCTTGATGTTTTTTTAGTCCCCCAGGGGTCCCCAGTGCCTGACATCACGTGGCGATGTTCTAGGAGGAACCTCTGAGCCAACTCTGCTGGCTCATGGCCTGCCACCTTGGCCTACCAGCCCATCAGTGTCCCGAGTCCAGCATGGGAAACTTTTGCTTCCCAGTTCCTGCCCTTTGCAGATCCCCCCTTCAGATGTCACTCGCCAAGGGCAGGTGAGCCTGCCCATAGTGCTGCCAGTGTCAACAGGATCTTTTCTGTTTTAAAATTTCGGCATTTCATTCACTCAAGAAAGATTTGGGGGAGTCATGGGCGCCAATCGGCACCTGCATCGTCCTTAGCAGGGAGGGGAGAGGCTGACTCCAAGAGGGCCCGCTGGCAGCCTCGGCAGTCAAATGCTAGAACATTGTGTCCAGGGAGGGATGCTTGGCCATGGTCCACGTGGGGGCATTCCTGAGTGTGAGCCCCAACTCCAGCTTCCCATGGACACAGCTCCGGGAAAGCAGTGATTGGCTTGTGTAGCTGGGTTTCTGCCGTTCATAGAGGAGCCTGGGTTCAGCTCCTGCCCAGCCCTGTGGAGAAAGCGAGAAAGGGAGAAATGGGAAGGACCTTGAAGAATTTGAGTTTGAAGGCTTTAAAAAACTTTTATGAAAGTATGCACTTTCACCAAACCTTGGCTGAATAATAGCCCAAGACTCAGTTTCTTTACCTGTGAGATGGGCGCACAGCATGCCAAGTGTGAGTGCCATTGTGGGCTTAAGGAGGTGATTTATCCGGAAGTGCTCAGGGAGGCATGGGAAGAGTCACGCGCACCTGAGACACGGTGCACGCACAGCGATTTTACCGCATGAGAACTTCCATTGCAAACATTTAAAGTAGGAAATAGTAATTGAAAGATACATGGTAAATATTGATACCAAGTATACATGAAACAAAAATCCATGGCCAGCTGAAATGTACCGTACTTCAGAATAAGAGGGTGAGACTGGGCAGATAACACCAACACAATGGCCGTAATGGTCCACGTAGTGGATACTTGGACACCAAATCGGAGTGTGGGTTTCCTGGCAGCCCAAGCGAAGTGGGAAAAAGTGTCCACTGCACCACGGGATTGTCTGTAGAGAGAAAACGTAGACTGCTCAGACCAAGCAGCTTCCCTCCTTTCTGTCATCTGTGTATCAGGACAGAATTTGACATCCTCAAAGCTGACTATGTGTCTTAGCTAAATCAAGGTTTGCAGTTCTGAAGTAACAGTACAACCCAGATGTTGGCCATCGGGCCAGGCTCAAATGTGGGCAGTGAATCCACTGCTGGGAGATAAGGTGCCATTCACCCTCAAACTCCCACAGTAAGGCATGCAGAAGTGGCGAGGTGGCAGCTCAGGGCGCTGTCACCCCAGCCCCGTGCCACTCAGGAGCTTTTCTGATGGGAGGAGAATCCGGGGACTGTTTCGGGCACTCAGTGGGTTTGGAGGACACGCGATGACCCGAGACCAAGTCAGCTGGGTCTGCAGAATGGAGAGCAGATTGTGAATGGCTGGTTCTCCGGAGGACTGAGCCGGCGGTGGTGTGGGTTAAGTCAATCTGAGGACGTTGACCCACTCCCATCTCTTCTCCCAGGCTCTGAAATGGAGCCTCAGGGAAGGGTCCAAGGTCATTGTGTCTTCTCTTGGGTCAGAAACTGCCAAGACATGAAGCATCTCCCAGCACCTGCTGCTGTCTAAGTTCCTCCAATTTAGAATAATCAGCATCCCGGGTGCTGTACTTTGGGATGAAAGTCTTTGAGCTCCTTCAAGGCCCAAACAACAAAAGCCAGAACAGAGCAGAACAGATACCCAAGACACCTGTTGCTTAAGTCTCCCCCTTTTCACTGGGAAAACAGAACCTTTCCTATGACCTCCGCCCCCCAAATGTTGCTCCTGATTCATTGGGTCACATGGTTAATTTAGCGGCAGGGGAGTCTGGGAGGTATATTTTAAACATCCCCATTACCTCTTCAAAACAACAACAACAACAACAAAGCAATCAGGTTCTGTCCTTGGGGTAGAGATTTCATCACCGGCTTCTCTGAGAGCCCAGGAATGCAGCCCAGCACCCAGGTTTCAGGGGGAGAGAAACTGCCCCCACAAACAAGATGTGGGCCTTTGGCATGAGTCCTTCCTGCGGTTGGCACCTAAAAGCACAGGCAGAACAGTGCTGCTGGTGACGTTTCCCAGTTGCTTGTAGACAAGTTGGGAGAATGACGGAAATTGCTGGCTTCGAGAGAGCCTTGGCCATTCGGAAGGAGAATAATTGCCATTCGGGGTGCCAGTTATTGCCGCCTTGCTGGTTGTAGTCTGGCTGCGGCCAGGTGGGAAGGCTCATCCCACACATTTCCACCTTCCTGCTTGATATGCAGTCACTGAGTGATTGAGTGCAGCAGAAATTCCACTGCCAACTAGTGAAAAAGCTATATTTCACGGTTACAATATCTAACAGAAGGGTTTATTTCACAGCTATCATGTCATAGCCATTAAATATATATTTTAAAAGAGTGAAATTAAAATGCTAGAGCCGTTTTTATGATTTTATTATTTTTTGTTCAGTGACATAGCCTCTAGACTTGCAGAATACCAATGAGCTCAAGCTGGCTGTCCCCTTGCCAGGGAGAACAGCCACTGCCGACGTCAGAACACTGCCACCACCCCGGTCTGACTCCTTCAGGCAACGGTGTTGGCAAACTGGGGCTGGAAGAAGGGCAAAGGGGAGGTGCCCAGGCAGAGGCCTTCTGTGTTGTTCATATTTACAAAGACTGCAGAGGCTAAGACGCCCCTTGGGGCATTTGTATCAGACCCAGAGGACCTGGATCTGAGCTAGCTCTCCTGCCTCAGATTCTGCTTCAGTGCACGCAGTGAGGCAGCAGCTGCTGGGGCATGTACACCCAGTGGGGCAGCAGGTGCTGGGGCAAGCACGATGGGTTCCTGTCACCACATGAACTACCTCCTGGGCTCCTGGCTCAGTCCTGGCTGTTGAGGGCAAATGAAAGTTAGTACATAAAAATTTAAACATTGGTTGAAAACTTTTTTTTAAAGTTTCTTTTATTTATTTGAAAGGCAGAATCCCAGGGAGAAGGGAGAGGCAGAGGTGGAGCATCCATCTCCTGATTCAGCCCGCAAAGGGCCGTGACGGCCAGGGCTGGGCCGGGCTAACCAGGAACCCCGTCCGTATTTCCTGTGTGGCTGCAGAGACCTAAGCACCATGGAGTGCTGTGCACCACGGCTGGGCTCCAGAGACTTAAATGGAAGGGAGGCAGGGACCCCGGGGGAGTTTTTGCTTCCTTTCTTAAGTTTTTCTCTGTGGTTTCAGACTTTAAAACTAAGGATATGCATTACAGCTCTAATAAGAAACAAACGCTCATTATCTGTTGTGGGGAAATGAAAAGAACAGCAAGAGCGGAAGGGTCCAAAGCCGTGGGGCAGTCTTCCCCTGCCCTGGGTCACTTCCAGCTGCCCTTGTAGGGTCTGCACCATCAAGCCTGGTGGTTTCCTTCCCGCATCTCCAGCCCTCGCGCCCCACTGCTGGGCAGCCATTCGAACGCCTTGAGCAGGACCATTTCCATCTGAATGTGTGCTTCTAATTAGGTATTATTTTGTGTGCCCAGATGATTTACACGAATAGCTCTGGGCTTTGGGTCTTCCTCTTCTTCTCATTCAGCACTGTATTGAAGAGCTCTATCCGCTGCCTCTCTTGGCTCCAGGGAGTGTTCCCGCCCCAGGGAGCATAAGGACCCCACCTTGTCACAGAATGGTCCCCAGGTAATCACACGTGTAAGGACGTTCACCGAAAGCCACCTGAGTGTACAGTCCTATTGTGGCTGGAGGAGGCATGCAGAGAGAATCTTGGTGTAGGCCAAGGGTAGACTCCGCCAAAGGAAGGGGTCCTGGCCCGAGGCCACGGTGGTGGGTTTAGCGGGGAGGAGGGGGACGAGTGTGAGCAGGCAGAAGCAGCTGAGGTTTTTGCACATGCTCTGGGTGCACGTGTCACTAATCAAAGCTTTCCCATCACATCGATTATTATTCCCATTTTATAGCTGAGGAGGCTAAGGCTGGAAAAAGTTAAGCTAAGCAGGAGAGGAAGCTGGCTTTGGGTCTGAATCTCTCACTGAGAGCTTGGGCCCCCGACCACGGGGTGCCCCTGCCCCCTACGCTGGCATTTCCACCTGGAGCCCATCAGCTCTTCTCTTGTTAGGATCATTCCTGTTCTTTGTTCAGTTCTTGCTTTCTCTCAGAGATTTCTCCTTACAAGCTGGCTCTGCTGGGGTGGCTAGCTGGGATGAGCGGTGGTGGTGGGGGGACGGGCCAGTCCCACTCCCTGCAGGAATGAAGGGTGCAGGCCGTGGTTACCTGGGACTACAGCTTTCACTGTGTCCTGCAGGAATTGCTTGGATGAATGTGACTGCTGCCTCAAGGTTGCCCCGTCTTTCTGGGGGAGCCCTGAAATCCATTCATTGACAAATCAACTTGTATTCACACAGCCTGGCTCTTGTCACCCCAACTTTACTCTGCCTAGTACTCTTGGTGTAGGGAAACCCCCAAGTTCCTTGGCCCCACTCTTCCAGGGGTCTCCACCCTCCCCGTCCCTGGACTTGGGTCACTGTGGACCTGCAGCGCTGCAGTTGGCTGACCGCTATGATGTGGGCTGGATTCTGGCTCCCGGAGGTTCTCCTGGCAGAAGGAAGCCCTCACCTCTGTTTTCCTGGGTCGCTGAATATGCACAGTTTCAGGGGACCCCATTCTCTTTACCAGGCTTGTGACGTTGCCAGCTCTGTGTGTAGTGGGAGTGGCCCTGTAACTGCAAACTACTGGCCCTGGTAGCTTGGGGCCACAACAGGGTTTTTGCCTTGGAAAGAATATTTGAAAATTAACAGAAGTGATGCCATTTCCCTTGTAAGCCAGAAGCACTCAAATCGCCTTTTAATCCCTTTGTGGAAGAATTCCTGACACTCGGCTTATAGATGCACATGTGCCTGGTTTTAATGAAGGCCTTTGCTGTTTTCTAGTTCCCACACATTGGACTCATGCAGAAGACGCCAGAGTCCATCACCCGTGCCGCCATGAAGGAGCCCCTGTGTCCACAGGCGGCTAAACAGGTGCAGGGAGGGTTGCCACCCATCTACAAAGTCCGGGAGAAAGTGAGTACCAAGCTCCGCCTGTATTCTGTGCCCACTGTCCTGGCTCCTGCGAGTGGCCCTCTCAGCGTTTCTGTCCATCGTGCCTTGTAAGGACCTGGACCCTAGAGGACAGTGCTGTCCCCAGCTCACAGTGGGTCGCTGTACAGACCTGAGCTGGCTGCAGCCGAAGCTGCTCCTGGTGTGACCCACTGGGTCATGTCCCCCCGTAAGTGGCACACTTCACACCCCTGTCAGCCAGCGGCCTTGGCCCAGGCCCCCAGCTTCTGAGACTCTGCTGGTTGGATGAAGAAGAGGGCTGACGCCACCACGGAAGTCCTCGCTGGAGTAGTGAGCCTGGTCACCGTTCTACCCTTGCTTCCCAGCAGGGCAGGATGAGGGTCTGACTCAGGAAGCTGGCACTGAGCCCTGTTTCGCCTGTGCTGCTGCGTGGGGCTGCACTGGGCTGTGTGGGGCTGTGCTGGGCTGCATGGGGCTGCACTGGGCTGTGTGGGGCTGCGTGGGGCTGTGCTGGGCTGCGTGGGGCTGCACTGGGCTGTGCGGGGCTGCATGGGGCTGCACTGGGCTGTGCGGGGCTGCGTGGGGCTGCGCTGGGCTGTGTGGGGCTGTGTGGGGCTGGCTTCCTTCTGACACGGAACCTGGCTGGGCCTCCTGATGTTCCCTCTTCTGCTTTCCAGCAGGCCACAAACAACAACTTCCCCTTCTCCCTGCACGACAACCGGCACACGTTGGAGAACTCTGGATCCTACCTTGACTCTGTGAGTGCTCCTTTCCAAATACGAATACAGTTGGGGGTGGCTGGGGAGTCACATCAGGACCTCTGACGTGATGGGTTGAGCACAGAGGACTGACCTGAAAACTGGATCCAGACCAAAACACAGCCAGGTGTTAGACTGGACGCCTGCCGGTGGGCGCTCAGGGTGCTGCACGTCAGCCCCAGCCTCTGCCTGTGTGTCCATGGACTTGACGCTGCTTCCTTCCCACGGCTTCGGGGGCTTTCCCGTGAAGATCCGGCATGGAAGAAGGGATCACCCGTGTGTGTCTCGGGATGACAGAGCCAGGATCCCCAAGGAGGGGATCTTACATAAGACAGGAATTCCCAAACGGTGCCTCTCTCTGGAGATGGGTGATGCTGTCCCTGGAGACTGGTGTCTGCTAGCGCTCGGCAGCAGCGAACACCACTGTGAAACAGGAATGTCGTGCAAACTGCAGGTGTCATGTAAAATTTTCCGGTGGCGACATTCAGTGAAATGAAAGAGGCGAAATTAATCTAACCAAATAATCACCCAAATTATCCATTCAATGAGTAATCCGTATTAATCAGCTCCTCTACATTCCTCTTAGCAAACTAAATCTTCAAAATGCAGTTTGGGGCTGGCCTTCATCAAGGTCAGTTTATGCCAGTTGGGATGCCCACACCGCACAAGTGCCAGCTCTGCTCAACAGCTCAGCTTCCTGGGATGCAGAAAGAACACACACAGGATGATGATATCAGCCAAGAACGCACAGGATGAACCCTGCCACCCATGTCAAAGGCCACTTTGAGTTCTTGGCTCCTGACCCTCGGTGGGCGATTGGGGGAATGAAATGAAGGGAAAACTCTTTCTTTGGATCTCAGCTTTCAAATAAAAAAAAACCAGTTTGGGGGTTGGCACAGTGGTATAGTAGGCTAATCCTTTACCTGCAAGTGCTGGCATCTCATATGGACACCAGTTCGTGTCCCGGCTGCTCCGTTTCCCATCCAGCTCCTTGCTTATGGCTCAGGAAAGCAGTGGAGGATGGCCAAAGGCCTTAGACCTCTGCAACCACATGGGAAACCAGGAAGAAGCTCCTGGCTGCAGTCCAGCCCTGCTCCAGCTGTTGTGGCCAGTTAGGGAGTGAACTAGCAGATGGAAGATCGATCTCTCTCTGCAACTCATGTTTTCAAGTAAAATAAATAGATCATAAAAATATCCAATTTATGTTTTCCCCCTACGTCCGTCTGAGTTTGGAAGCCTCACATTCCAGTGCTCAGTAGCTGCTGTGTGACGTAGCTGTTGGTGTGACCTCTCGGAGGGCAAGCTCGGGTACCAGGATGTACCAGGAGGGCTCTGAGAGTCTGCGTTGACGACGATGCTATCAGTCAATCACCAATGACTAAGCATTTGCCATCAGCCGGGGCTTCGTGCTATTATCTCATTTAATCCACACATGAGCCCTCTGCATGGACTCAGAGATCAGGAAACTGAGGACCAGCCAAATCCAACAGCTGGCCCCACGCTGCCCTGTCCAACAACCTGCTTGAACACACAGCTCCAGCTTCTGCCCTGCCCGCCTCTCCTATGCAAAGTGCAATGTAACCTCCGAGCCGGAAAAAACTCAAATTATATAGCCTTCCATAACACGAAAAGCAAGCTTCATAGCCCGTCTGCTCTGCTCACATCGGCACCTTGCGGATTCGCTGCTGAGGGGCTCATGAGCACCAGCTGAGAATTTCTGCCACTCACACACAGGTGTAACTGCGCGTTTTGCGAGGGATGCACATAGGATCACGCAGCACAGATGAGGCCAGGTCTGCGGCAGTCCCGTGGGAAGGCTGGAAGCCTCCCTTCTCAGTGTTCAGCAAGGGTTGGCACAAAGTTGGGTTTCCAAGTGGACAAAGCCTAGATGATGTTTACTTGGGAAACAGGTGCTTTGCCGTCTTCGTTAGCCCTGCTTCTGTCCTGCTTTTCATCACGCAAGCTTTCCGCCTCTTCGTGGGGGTCTACCTCAGTTGCTTTGTCCAAGATTTATATAATTCTCTTCACATTTCCTGGTACAGTGTTTCTCAGGCTCCTCCTTTTTGCCATTCATTCTTCAGATCTTTTGTTTTTTCAGCTGAATGTTACTTTGGATCCTTGCAATTTTTTTTTTGTTAATGAAATCATTAAAATCATATTCTTCAGATTGGTTTTTATTTCCCAAAGGTGTTTCTAATTAAAGTCTTATTATTTTCTTCCATATAGTATATGATTTGATTTTAATTTCAATTTTTAAACAAAAAGCTTACAATGTTTTGAATTTTCTATGTGGTTGGAATTTTTAAAGATCATTCACTTGTCCTAGTATCCAGTTTTAAGGGTTATAGTAATTTTCTTTCAGAATATTTTTTATTTGTTGTGAAAGAGTTAGAGAGACAGAGGAGGAGAAAGAGAGAGGGGGCCGGGAGGGAGAGAGAGCCCTTCGATTTGTTGATTCCCCAAATGGCTGTAAAAACTAGTCCTGGCCCAGGGCTAAACCAAAAGTCAGGAGCTTCAGCTGGGCCCTGGTGTGGGCGTAGGGGTCCCAGTGTGGGTTCTGGTGTGGGAGCAGGGGTCCCAATACAGAGGCAGGGGTCCCAGTGTGGGTGTAGGGGTCCCAGTATAGGGGCAGGGGTCCTGGTGTGGATGCAAGGCTGCAAACACAGGGTCATCAGTCACTGCTCTCCCCAAACCATAAGCAGGGAGCTGGATCAGAAGTGGAGTAGCCAGGATGCAACTGGCACCCCATGGCATTCCAGCCCCACAGGCGGTGGTATTGCCCGTTACACCACAATGCCAGTCCCTTGTGGTAACTTTCATCGAGTGTGATTTCTGAGTTCTGCTTCTTGGATTGCACAGATTAACTTTTCTGTTTTTGGGGCACTTAATTTTAGTGATGTTTCATGGGTGTTGCTTGGTAGTTAGAGCCGGCACCCCACGTCACAGCTCCTGCTCCTGACCGTGGCTTCCTGCGGATGCAGAGCCTGCGGACGGGGATTAGTGGTGACGGTCAAAGTCATGGGCTCCTGTCACTCATGTGGAAGACCTGGCTTGGGGTGTGAACCAGCAGGAAGAGCTAGCGTGCTCTCTCTCACCCTCTCACTCTGCTGTACTGTGACTCTCTGCTTCTCAAATAACGTATAACGAGGATTATATACTTTCTCCTTGGCTGCAAAGTTTTTAATTCAGAGCTTAGTCATGTATTTCACATTTTCATATGTGTTTCTCCATCTCTGGTCTGTCGTCTCTGCTTCTAAGGTGACTCTTCTCTCTGCATTGTGTTACTGTCGTGGGCCTCGCGCTGAGCAGTGGCCCTCTCCGGGCGCTCCTGGCCCGGCGTGTGGCCCTCTTACTCAGCTCTTGCCAAGATTTGCTGTTTATGGTATGCCCCATTTATCCTTTTCTTCATAACAGTTATTTTGCTTCAGGTTTATTTTTTCTATTTTAAAGATTTATTTATTACAATGTCAGATATACAGAGAGGAGAGACAGAGAGGAAGATCTTCCGTCCGATGATTCACTCCCCAAGTGACCACAATGGCTGGAGCTATGCCAATCTGAAGCCAGGAGCCAGGAACTTCCTCCGGGTCTCTCACACGGGTGCAGGGTCCCAAGGCTCTGGGCCGTCCTTGACTGCTTTCCCAGGCCACAAGCAGGGAGCTGGATGGGAAGTGGAGCTACCGGGATTAGAACTGCTACCCATATGGGATCTCGGCACGTTCAAGGCGAGGACTTTAGCCACTAGGCCACCATGCCGGGCCCTCAGGTTTATCTTTTAAAGATAGAACACAATACAGTTTGAAAAGAATCTGGGGCCCGCACAGTGGCTCCACAGGCTAATCTTCCACCTGCAAGCACTGGCATCCCATATGGGCACAAGTTCGTGGCCTGGCTGCTGTACTTCTGGTCCAGCTCCCTGCTGCGGTCTGAAAAGACAGCAGAGGATGGCCCAGGTCCTTGGGCCCCTGTACCTATGTGAGAGATCTGGAGGAAGCTCCTGGCTCCTGGCTTTGGATTGGTGCAGCTCTGGCTGCTGTGGCCATCAGGGAGTGAACCAGTGGATGGAAAGTCTCTGTCTCTGCTTCTTTCTGTGAATATTTAACCCATTTACATTACTGTGGTGACTTGCTGGGGTCTGTGCTTGCCTTGCGTCTCTGTCACTTCCCTCACCCTGCACACCTCTCTCCCTGCTGCCCTGGTGAATTCTCATAGTTCCAGAATCTTCCACAGTCATGCTTCAGCGAGTTGAGGCTTGGTGGTTTCCTTGCCTCGGGTGTCTCCCGTTGGACTCGCGTGTCCTCGAGTGAGGACTCGCTGGCATTGGGCCCCATGCGCGGGCCTTGCCCCAGCCCCCTGAGCTGCCCCGAGTTTTCCCACCCTGGCTGGTCTGGGCACACCAGGAGGGGTCTCCGATCCTGGGGATTTCCTACATGTGACCCACATGCGAAGGAACATTTAATGACGTCTGCAATCGCCTGCACCTGTGAATGCTGGCGGGCTCCTGCTGTGCACCCATGGGTGTTGGCATGATCTGCACAACATGTCATCTGTTTTCAACCTGGCACAGCACCTTGTGTCTTAGTTCTCACCCAGTTGCGTTCAGGTCAGAGACCTGTTCTGAACATACTGTTGTCCTCAGACTCATAGCAAGGTGCGTGGGGGCAGGCAAGCTGAGGGTCCACTGGGGCCCAGGCTGCTCCTTCCCTCGAAGTCCAGTCTGCTCCATTGACCAGAAGGCTGTGAGCGACACGCTGCTCCCCAGCACTTCTCAAGCGTGGGTCCTTACTGTGTGTGGCAGAGCTAGTGTTAATAAAGACTTTGGGCCCAGCACTGTGGCCGAGTGGCTAAAGTCCTCACCTTGAACGCTCTAGGGTCCCATATAGGCACGGGGTTCATATCCTGGAGGCCCCGCTTCCCATCCAGCTCCCCGCTTGTGGCCTGAGAAAGCATTCAAGGATGGGCCAAAGCCTTGGGACCCTGTACCCGTGTGGGAGACCCAGAGGAGGTTCCTGGCTCCTGGGTTTGGATCAGCGCAGTGCCGGCCGTTGTGGTCACTTGGGGAGTGAATCATCGGATGGAAGATATTTCTGTTACTCCCACTCTCTCTATATATCTGACATTGTAATAAAAATAAATAAATCTTTTTTTTTTTAAATAAGGGCTTCAGAACTGAGGGGTCTCGGATGTTCCCCTAATTGTCTCTTTCTTCCGCAGGGCCTGGGCCGCAGGAAGGTCTCCCCTGATAAAAGGCAACATGTTTCCGAAAATTTCAACCTCTGGGCCTGTGACTACGTTCCATCCTGTCTGGATGGCTTTTCAAACAACCAGTTATCCTATGTCTATCCGGGGGCCAGGGTGGACCCCCATTTCAGGCGCTTTCCCAGACGCTATGATCATGTCTGGAGCACCTGCCAACTCCCGCCCGAGTGCCGCCGCCTGCCGGCTTTGAGAAAGAAGCCGAAAGTCAGGTTCACCGCTCACAAAAGTGCCACTCCTCCCCTGGAACCCTGAGGCTGCCGCAGACACCTGCTGGGACTCCACCTGACACTGAAGGATGTGCTTCCTGGTCCAGTGGGCCAGTTCCTCTTTGAAATGCTTTTCTGATTTTAGTAAGCGAGAAAAACCTTTCAAGTCCTTATAAAATAAATATGTGTGTAATGATACACATGTGTAAATACACTCTTAAGGTGGCTATCTTTGCTTTTGGGAGGATTTTTTAAAAAAAGTTTAATGCTACATAATATAATTACACATTTTCACTTTGAAGTTTCAAAGACAGATAAACCAGAAATTCCTCTTGATTTTGCCTCATCTCCAATCCTTATCCTGTGCCCTAAAATCTTGTTCTGATTCTGTGTGTTTACAATCATTTGCCTGTGCATACACACAAAATTTGAATAAGAAGTGCATCATACAATACATAACCTTCTATAGCTTTCTTTTTAAAAAAGATTTATTTTTATTGCAAAGTCAGATATACAGAGAGGAGGAGAGACAGAGAGGAAGATCTTCTGTCCAATGATTCACTCCCCAAGTGAGCGCAATGACCATTGCTGCGCCAATCCAAGCCAGGAGCCAGGAACTTCCTCTGGGTCTCCCTCGTGGGTGCAGGGTCCCAAGGCTTTGGCCCATCCTCGACTGCCTTCCCAGGCCACAAGCAGGGAGCTGGATGGAAAATGGAGCTGCTGGAATTAGAACCAGCGCCCATATGGGACCCCAGAGCATTCAATGCAAGGACATTAGCCGCTAGGCCATGGTACTGGGCCCTATAGCTTTCTTTTGATGTCTAAGAATGCATCTTGGAGTTTTGTCTTGTCAGAATGTATAGACAGAAATTTTTAAAAAGCAATTATTACATTGTTTTCCCAAATAGAGATGCATCATGTTTGTAAAAGGCATCTTCTGGGGGCATCATAGTGGCACAGTGGGCTGAGCTGCTGCCTGTAAGCCCGGCTTCCCAATGCAAGCATTCTACATCAGAGCAGTGGTTCAGGTCTAAGCCTCTAGGCTTCTGATCCAGCTCCCTGCCGACGCTCCTGACTCCTCAAGGCTTTACCAAGTGCCGGGGCCTCCGTCACCCATGTGACAGGGAGATTGGGTGGAGTTCTTGGCAATACATATGTATATATATTGCAGTCAGAATTGTTGCTATACAAATGCCTCCCACCAAGCTCTCTGTGTGTTCGCACATGGCTCTGGGCTGACCGGAAGGCAGCGGGCAGTACTGGGCTGGACAGAGTGCATGACTTGAGCTTGACTAACTCTGGCCCAACTCCTGATGCTAAGGCTTTGCCCTCCCCCACCTTAGCTCTCACACTTTAAAAGAGATATCTTCCTGTTCTCTTTTCTTGCACTTCTCAAATTATTGGTCAAGTTGACCATCTTTTGCTTCCATTTCTCCATGAACTTTTAAAGGACTTACGTATTTGGACCCTTGATTGCACTTTTAATTTATAAACATTCTAGTAAATCTAAAATTTTGACAAACTTTTGGATTGTTTTCTTTGGGATTTTCTATAGAGAAAAATCACTTGCCAAATGACGTCATTTCGAAGGATGATGTCCCTAAGTGTGTGTGCCTCGGCTGCGGTGTGATCACGCCACGGGAGTCCTGGGGACGCGTGTGCCTCGGCTGCAGTGTGATCACACTCCTGGAGTCCTGGGGACGCGTGTGCCTCGGCTGCGTTGTGATCACGCCACGGGAGTCCTGGGGACGCGTGTGCCTCGGCTGCGGTGTGATCACACTCCTGGAGTCCTGGGGACGCGTGTGCCTCGGCTGCGGTGTGATCACACTCCTGGAGTCCTGGGGACGCGTGTGCCTCGGCTGCGGTGTGATCACACTCCTGGAGTCCTGGGGACGCGTGTGCCTCGGCTGCGTTGTGATCACGCCACGGGAGTCCTGGGGACGCGTGTGCCTCGGCTGCAGTGTGATCACACTCCTGGAGTCCTGGGGACGCGTGTGCCTCGGCTGCGGTGTGATCACGCCACGGGAGTCCTTGGGACGCGTGTGCCTCGGCTGCGGTGTGATCACACTCCTGGAGTCCTGGGGACGCGTGTGCCTCGGCTGCGGTGTGATCACACTCCTGGAGTCCTGGGGACGCGTGTGCCTCGGCTGCGGTGTGATCACACTCCTGGAGTCCTGGGGACGTGTGTGCCTCGGCTGCGGTGTGATCACGCCACGGGAGTCCTGGGGACGCGTGTGCCTGGGCTGCGGTGTGATCACGCCACGGGAGTCCTGGGGACGCTGTGGAGGTTTCAGACGCTCTCTGACTGGTTATAGGCATTCTCTCATATTCTCAGTTTCCTAAGGGCTTTTGTCTTAGCCCCTAATATAGTTTTCTAATGTATATAATACATAGGAGAAATTTTAAAGAACTAAAAATATAGTGACAAAGGATCCTCCGCACTTGTTTGGTGTCCAGTTCTCGCTTCTCTAACAATCCTGTCCACGTGTTTTGTGTTTGTCCTTGCCTAGCAGGGAATCCCTCCCTTTCTACCCCTGCTGTCTCTCACCGTCTCTCACTGTCTCTCACCGTCTCTCACTGTCTCTCACCGTCTCTCACTGTCCCTCCTTCACTGTCTCTCTCTCCTTCTGTCTCCCTGCCTCTTTCCTTCTCTCAGACCTTCCTTGTTCCTCCTCTCTCCCTCTCTGCCTTCCCTTTCTGCCCCATCTTTCCCCTTCCTCTCCATTCCTCCTCTACTTTCCGTCACTTCCCCACAAAGCAGAATTACAAATGTCTTGGAAGTTGTTTCGCGTCAGCGAAAGAGTTTTTCATCTAATGTGCCTTGGTTACGGGAACGATGTGTCACTCTGTCCCACGCGCTGCCCACACTCCAGGGCAGGGGCCGTTTAAGAGGGTCTCGGAATTCTGTCTTCCACAGCCAGGAAGCTGACGGCAGCACACTGCACAGGCCTTGCTCAGCAGCTACCAATTCCATATGCACTGTGTGTCTGCGTGTTTGTTTTGCTGACTACAGATTTACACTGGAATCTTTCTAGTTTGTGAATTCTCTAATCACGGCTGATATTTCCATATGTAAACACACAAATTGCGTTGGGCATCGCTGTCAGGATCCATGTCTGCATTGCCAATTGCATGGTTTTGTTAGAGATTTTTTTTCTGATTATTTATCGGCTGATTCTCTGCTCTCCACACTCTCTGTTTCCTTTAGAAGGCTTCCTGGGTGGAGTCTGACATGGTGTCTATTTTCCTTGGCTTTTGTGTAGTCCTTTTTGTGTCTCATCAGCTTGTTTGCTTGCACTGGTTTCTAGGGAAGTCCCCAGGACCCCGTCATCCATGGTACCAAGTGGCTCTTCCAGGATCCCTTATGCCTCTGCCCAGCGCCCTGGGAGCACACGGGAACATCTGCCACAGACCTGACCTGTGCGCTGTCAGCCTCTGCCTGTCACTGGTCACTCAGAGCATGGGAGTCATTCGGTATAGACAGCAGGGCGTCCCCGCGGTGGGAAGCACGCTGGCCAGTGTGTGTGACATCACTGCTTCCTGAGAGCTTCTCGCCCAAGGCCTAACCTGTTAGTTGAAACTTGGAATTACTGAGTGTTGGGGAGGTGCCACACCCAAGGTTTTCTCCTCAGCCTCAGCAGACCTGTAACATCAAATAGACAAGGTCGTTTCTTTCTCCTACAGATTTATTTACTTTTAAAGTCATGGTAAGTACAGGTGGGGGGCGAGGAGAGAGGGAGATCTCTCACCAGCTGGTGTACTCCCTGGCTGGCCACAATGGCCAGTGCTGGGTCAGTCTGAAACCAGAATCCCAGAACTACATTTGGGCTTCCTCCTTGGTTGCACTGGCCCAGGCGTGTGGCCCCTCTGTGGCTGCCTTTCCAAGGCGCATCAGCAGGAAGCTGGATCCAAAGTGGAGCAGCTGGGATGTGAACTGGTTCCTATATGGAATGCTGGCACTATAGCGCAGCCTAACCCACTACAGCACAATGCTCCTGGGTATTTTACTGAAGGGACGGATCTGGGAACTCCACTATAGATGCCATGGATTTAAGCTTCCACTTTATGAAAATAAAATCTTCAACGTGTTGGCACAATGTCAACGATTTGCTATTGTTAGCTCTTTGTTTTAGTGTGATGTTTAGAGCAGAGGAATAAACAAGCAGCCAGCAAGAGAAACCCCAACACACTAATCAATTACATGCAGGTGTTTACAGAGTTCTGTTTTAACGGATTCGACTCGGACTCATGCCATTCTACAAAGACGTGACTTAAAGCAGCTGCTGGCTGGGTAACGAGGCTTTTGGAGAGATGCTGCCTAGCGTCCCTTCTAGAATAATTCCAGACAGCATTAGCTGCTACGGCACATGTGATGGGTCCGTGCATAACACCTGAGTCTCACACACACATTTGCTGAGATCAGATGCTAGGCCTCAAACAGTTGAGAGAATGAGCGGTGACTTCCGCAGGAGACCAATGCCTCAACGCTGTCTATTTTTAGGTCGAGAAACACACTTCCATGTGGTCTGTTTTGACAGTTAGGACTGCGATGTGAAGATCGCCTTGTGCCTTGGGTGGTGTGGAGCCTCTCGGGGCTGATGGTGGGGTTGACAGTGGTGGCATGGCTCCCTCCCGCCACGGCTTGACACAACGGCCGTTCTAGGACAGTGTCTACATTGCAGTTGCGTGGCAAGTGGCAACCCCCGAGTTCAGTACCAGCCTGTGGGCCAGGGGAAAAGGAGATCTCACCCAATTCAGCCTGATTGTTTTTTTTTCCCAATCCCAGAAGAATTGATCCCATATTGAGGATTCCTGGTGGGGAGAGCCGGCTGTGGGGGAGGAAGGACTTGAAATGAGAATCTAAGTATAGGCTTCCATATGTTCTGCCGAGTTCAGGGAAGATTCCATGCTGTTATGGTAACACCCCAAGACCCACAAAACAAGCAAGCAGAGGCAATTTTCTTCTCTGGGCTCTTTGCTGCCACCCACAGTCTCTGGTTCCAGCATGGTGGTGGGAGCCAGGGGTGGGGTAGGGAGGACCCCCTG